CCATTCTTCCTTCCTTCCTTCCCCCTCTTTCCTGCTTTTTCCTTCCTCTCTCTCCCATCTTCCCTTTTTCTTTTCCTGTACCTTCTTGCATGCTCAAATACAAAAGGGGAAACGTTTCTCATTTTGTTTTTAGTTTGTTTTGCTAGCCCTCAGCCAGCCAAAATGGGAGCCCAGGGGGCTGCGTGCGCCCCCTGTTCTGCAGCCATCTGCCAGAAAAAATGGAGGGGGGGGGCTCCGTTTTCTCTGGCAGAGGCACCGCGGGCTGGTCCTTTGCTGTTTCCAGGTTGGCCCTTTGGGCCAGATCCGTCCCGCAGGCCTTGAGTTTGACAACTCTGGTTTAGTGTCACGTTGCTAGGCCAAGCATGTCATGTGTCTGTTCCCGGCTAGGCTTCCAGAGTTAACGTTGGACCTGGTTTTGGGTAGGGTTCTGACTCGGTCTTCTCCCTTTCCCTGTTTGCAGTGAAGGCGAATGGCCCAGCCAGACGGAGAAAAGGAAAGAAAGAAACGCCAAGAGGGGCGGAGGGAGCCGCTTTGAGCCGTACCCCAGCCCTTCTTCGAAAAGGTACCGAGCCTTCATCACCAACATCCCCTTCGACGTCAAGTGGCAGTACCTGAAGGACCTGGTCAAAGAGAAAGGTACACGGCTTGGGCCCGACTTCCCGGACCTCTGCCCTCTTTCCTCGTGACCTCTTTTTTTTTTTCCTCCCCCCTTTTATCCAGCAGACGCGGAATGGGTCGGAAGTGGCTTGGGTAGGAGCCGTAGCCAAGTATGTTGAGCCCCCGAAGGTTTTCTGAGGGCAGGCAGGCGCTTCTGGCGTTGCATGCTGGCTAGCGGCTGTGCCCCGGCAGGAGACATCTTTGGTGTGCAGGTGTTTGGCACAAAAGCGCCTTTGGGCTCTTGGGAGGAGAGCAGAGGCTGATCGTCAAGAGGCTTTAGATTGAGGGGATTTTGGTTCTCTTTTTTCTTTTTTAAATCAGAAGCCCTCTTGAAAGCCTTCCTGGATCGACGATCCAATTTCCATGGAGGGGGAGAGAGAGCAGCAGTCTTCCTCGTTGACGAAATCTTGCTTGTTGGTTGAATATCTAAGCTTGTTTTAAGAGTGAGCTCAAGAAAAGATGGGTTCAATGCAGCCCCAGGCCTGGTAAATTTGCAAAAGGAACGAACGCCCTGCGGTTCCTTATTTGTCTTCGGTCAAAGCTCCTGCTGAGCCTGCTTCAGAAATCCAAAGCAGGCAGGCAGCCAGGCAGGCATTGGGCCAGCCCGTCGTGTTGTAAACTGGTAATTTACCTCGTGGTAATCTTGCGGGCAGGGTGGGGGCAACGCCAAATCGAAATCAGGCACGACTGGAGCCGCTGCTGTCCTGAATTTCATTTTGTAGCGGGAAAAGAAGGCCGGTTGCAATCTTGGCGGAGCCTCTCTTAAAACACTTAAAACCTGGACAACAAGGGCCTTTGGATTATTGTGCTTAGGGCCCAAGGTGTACCTGTGGCTTAAAGTGGAGGAAAGATGTCGGACAGGAACGGTGAGCCCAAGGCAAGCAAAGGCATTGCCTGGCCCCTCCTAGGGGGGTGTGGGCCATTCACAATTAAGCATATAACACCCCCCCAGGAGGGGAGGACGTTGATAGCACCAGAAAGCGCAGCGTCCTCACTCCTGAGAAATCGGACTTCCACTTCTCTCCTCCTAGCTGTAGCTTGATTCACATGAATTGATGAATGGAAGGTTGCTTTGGGGCATGCCAGTTCTCTTTTAACGCTGCGTGAGAAATCTTGGTGAAAAAAGGAGTGCCTTCTTCGCGCATAGAAGCGTCACCCCTTCCAGTACGATGTCAACCTTGGCCAGCCTTGTTTTCTGGCCTTTTTTTTTTTTTATTTTCTCCCCCTTCTTCCAGTTCACAACCCCATCCCCACTGGATGCCAACTTTCCAAACGGGAGGGTTGTTTCTCCTCTGTTCTCCTACTCCAGAGGTTTTCCCCTGCGGGATAGTCCCCAGGAGGAAAAGGGGAGAAAGGGCTTCCTTCTCTCTGCCCGAGAGCTTGGCGGTTCCGACGTTCTCGGAGTTTGTGACGACAGCTCAGGTTGACGTAACCGGCACCTCTACGGAGCTGTTTTCGTTCCAGCCTTCTTTGGAAACAAACTTGAAATCTCAATTGTCCTTTGATGGCAGTCCCAGTAGTTCCAGGAATCCCACATGGCGGTTCTAAACCTGGCTAGCCCTGGCTGGGCGTTGTCTCCAAGCAACCCAGGGCCTTGGATTTCAGGTATGGCGCAGCAGTTCAATGCTGAAGGGTTACCGACTGCTCTTCCACCCCTCAAGGATTGTGGGAGCATTCAAGCCCCCGCAGTAATAATCCTACTGCGGAGGTGCCTGTAAGTATGCGGCTGAGGAGACTTCAGTGTTGTGGTCTGTTCAGATCTCGCACGGGTGTGTGTATTGGATGCCTGCCTTGAAATGTTCAATTGTGGCCTCTCCCCTCGGTGAAAGGCGAAATTCTAGGCTGATCATCGGTTGGTGAAAACTTCCAAGTTACAGGTGTGCAGCATATTTGTTTTATTTATTTATTTTTTCCCCACCCCCTTTTCAAACTTTACACCGGTGTCCCTCGATATTTTCCCAGCCCGCCAAATTAAGGTGATATTCATTGCTGAAATGTTTGGACACAATGGGCGACGGTCGTTTCGTGGGAAAAAAAAATAACCCAACAACATTCACCAGATGGCAGAACCAGAATAATCTGTTTGAAGAACCCACACCGTTCAGATTATTTCCTCACAAAAATTTAAAAAGCCTTTCTTAGGGCAGGGTGCAATTTGTTGCTTTTAAAGGTTTTTATTATGCTCCAGTCTGGATAGATACTTCAGCCAAGGGTATTTTAGTTATGGCATCTAACTGCCCATCTTCTAACCAACTCTGGGCAACTCCCAGTCAGAGTGATAGCCAGTGTCTCAGAGCCCCCCAAAACTTCTAGATCAGGGTTGTCTTTGACCTCGGGGGGAAGGCAGGGGTGACATGGACAGGGTGGGCGTGGCCAGCTCAACGTCCCCCCATCAAGGCTCCGTTTTCAGCCACAATGGCCTCCTGCAGCCCTCTGCCAGCAAAACCCAAGCTCGGAGACGCCACACACGGCCCACCTGGGGTCCGTTTTCACTGGCAAGAGAGTTTCCAGGAGGCTATTGCGGCCCCAAACGGAGCCCGGGAGGACCACGCGTGGCTCTCCTGAGCTCTCTCTTTGCTGGCAGAGGCACCACGGGCTGGTCCTTCGCTGTTTCCCAGTGTGGGCCCCTGGGCCAGATCTAAGTACCCCCTAGGCCAGATTCGGGCCCCGAGCCTTGAGTTGGACACCCCTGTTCTAGAAGGTGTATATCGTATTCTTACACATCTTCTCGCTTCTCCTACTTTGAACTCCTTTGTGGTTTGTAGTCATCGTGCCTGCATTTTCAGATTGCAGCATCCCTGTGGTCACAAGGATTGCAGCTCGCCACTTATCCCCTGCTGGCTTCTTCGAAAAGGAGGGTCAACGGAGAAGCCGGTTGGTGATCCCAAACGGGGACCCCCCCACGAGGTCACCCCCTAAGAGCTGGAGGAGATTGGCTTAAGCGATGGAACGTCTGCCACGGTTGCAAGACGTTGCTTTAGGAACACACGCACACTTGTGAGGTGCCAGTTACTGTCACTACACGAAGGGCTACCTGTAAATGCGTTGTGACTTATGACCACAACAGAGCCCAACATTTCTGACTGCTAAGCGAGGCACTTAAGTGAGTTTTGCCCCGTTTCACAATCTTCCTTGCCAAAACCGGTAAGTGAATCCCCGCATTGGTTAAGTTAGTAACAAGGGCTTTTTTTTTTTCCCCCCAAAGAGGCAACTTGGGCTTCCTTCCTTCCTTGTTTTTTCTTTGAAGACTTTTCGCTTCTCATCCAAGAAGCTTCTTCAGTAATGTGGTTGTTAAGTGAGTCTGGCTTCCCCCTTGACTTCGCTTAGCAGACTGTCACAAAAGGAGATCACTTGACCCCAGGACACTGCAAGTGTAGTAGCACTTACACACCACTTCACGGCGCTTTACAGCCCTCTCTCTAAGGGTTTTTTACGGAGTCATAAACATGAGTCAATTGCCAAGCACCTGAATTTTGACCGCCTGACCACAGGATGCTGCAACGTTGAAGTGCGAAAAAGGATCCTACGTCACTTTTTTCCCCCGTGCTGTTGTAACTTTGGAACGGTTCGCTAAAACGAACCGAACGGGATTTTGATGCCCAGTAGATTCGAAAGGAGAACAAGGCCTAAAATAAGTTTTAAATGTTTTCACGACCGAACCACAGCGTCATTAGGGAATCCTGGGCGGGCACACCAGGCTTCTTCCTTGAGAGGCAGGAGAGAGACCTGTTAAAATCAGGCTGGCAGTATGGACTAGAAGGGGGTGGGGGGCGTGGAGAGAAGGAAATTTCTCCCTGTGGGTTCTTCCCACTGTGTTCCAACCTCGAGGCGCCATCAGCCGGCCGATTCAATCGGGCAGGACAATGTCAGGGGGCTCCGGTGCCGCCACCCCACGTGCTGCCCACCCGTAACGCCGAGTTGCGGCTGCTTAGCCAACGGAGGAGTGTTCCCGGGCTTTTTTCTAACAAGGCAGAGGCTCCACATATGGTTGCTGACGACTGTTCTAAATCCCCCTTGTTTTCTTGGCTTTTTCCCTTGGTCTATGTACCGTCTGGAATCTCATTTGTAGTTGGTGAGGTAACATACGTGGAGCTCTTAATGGACGCTGAAGGAAAGTCAAGGGTAAGTCTCCGAGAGCATTTCTTCCGTGGATTTTTAACTACATGACAAAAATGTGTGTGATGGCGGCGTGGAAAAAAAACCCCCTCCCCTCCCCAACGAGGTTGGGCCAGGGGCAGCGTGTATGTGGTAGAGTGGTTCTCTCGTTGGCAGTGGGTTTTGGGAGGGGTGGGGGTGAGTGGGAGGGAGGGAGGGAGGGAGGGAGGTAGAAAGGGGTCTGCTTAGACCCAGCAGCACCCTTTGCCGGTGCCGCTGCTGCTGCCGCTGCCGCCGCTGTGCTCCTTGGTGTTTGGCTGTCTGACTTAAGCATGGATCCTTACTGGCATTATCAATGTTCCACCCTTAGCTTAAATGTCTCCGTGTGGTTCTTGTGGCCGGCCTTTCGTTAAGCTCGGTGTGGAAGCGAGGTTGTTATCCATGTCAGAACTCTCTACGGCCGTCCGTGTCTTAAATGTTCAGGCCGAGCGGTAGCTGTTGATGGGGGCCTTGTCAGCGCAGAGGGGAGGCTCTTGACGCACCTTCCCCAAAGGCCGCTGGTGGAGGAGAGAGAGAGAGAGAAAAAGAGAGGGAGAGAGAGAGAGAGAGAGAGAGAGCAGGTGTTGGCTGGCCTAGAGGCACGTCGGACTTCGCAGAGTCGAGAGGTTCCGAGAGAAACTGGCATCTGTCCTCCCAATCATGGCTTCTGCGTCCCCTTCCCCCCCCGTCCCCCCCCCCACTCCTGGCCATGTAGGCTTAGCGTCCGGCGCTCAGGCGAACAGCAGTTGTGCTGTTGTTCAAACGGCAGCCTGGACCTCGCGGGCATGATCCCAAAGAAGTAATCTGAATATCCTAAGATCCAGTGGAAGAGAAGATCTCTGAAATGATTGTCCTGCGCCGAACTGACTTTTGTTTCTCTGTTCCCTTTGCCTTCCCAACCCTGTGTTTTGTTTGCGTTTACCTGCCTGATTCTCCACTTCGGCATCGTCAGGGCTGCGCGTAAGTAGAAGTCCCTCCCCGCCACCCCTCCTTTTCCCCCCGAACTGGGGCTGGAACCGGGACGGTTAGCCCTGGAGAGACTCACCCCCTCCTCGCCTCGTGTCTTTCGGCCTGCAGGGTGGTTGAATTCAAGATGGAAGAGAGCATGAAAAAAGCCGTGGAGGTGCTGAACAAGCACAGCCTCAGTGGGAGACCCCTGAAGGTGAAGGAGGTAAGCTTGGAGCTAGGCCGCCCCAATGGGGAGCAGCCAATTTTGCCCACCCCCGCCCCCCAAAATAAGAGAGCAGCATCTGAGATCGAAACAATAGCCTGAAATTGAGGTCATCCTCGGGACTTAACAACCAGAATGAATGCTAAAAGCGAGCTTGATCCTTTTCTGCCACCGCCGTTAAGTAAATCCGGCTTCCCCCATCGACTCCGCTTGTCAGAAGGTCACACAAGGGGATCCCATGGTTGATCCCTGAACCACTGCAACCGTCATGAATGTGAGTCGGCTGCCAAGCGTCCGAATGTAAATCACGTGACCACCGGAGGTGGGTGAGAAATAGCCACAAGTCATCTCGTTTTCCCTTCCCCAGTGCTGTTGTAAGTTCACACGGTCACTGATGGCTGTAAGTCGAGGAATACCTGTCCGTATTCTCTCTCCTGCAGAGGGAGATAATTGCATGTTTTTGCGTTCAGAAATGCAAAGGTGATTTTGTTTATTTTTAGCATGTTTTGTGACGTGAAGAAGAATGGATTTGCGTTTAATTTCCTTGTTGGGTGGGAAAAGCAGTTTTCCTTTCCTTTGCTCCCTCTGGAAGTCTGAAGCGACTCTCAGCCATCCAGGTCATGGGTTGTCCCAAAGGGGTGCTTTTTCAGGAGGCAGCTGGACTTTGTTTTTTTCTTCTTTCGAAGACATTTCGCTTCTCCTCCGAGAAGCTTCTTCAGCTCTGCCTGGAAGGGAATGGAAGGATTTCGGTTGCTTGCTTTCTGAGGGTCCTCGAGGCCACCTGGAGGTTTGTCTGTGTCCTCAGGGTCACCTGAGCAGGAGCCAGGAGCACCACTCAGGTGCTCCTGAGGACAGAGACCAATCTGCAAGCGGCCTCAACGGCTTTCTAAAAAGGATGCAAATGACCAGCTTTGTCTGCAAGGGCTATAAATCCTTCCCCACCATCCAGTCAGAGCTGAAGAAGCTTCTTGGAGGAGAAACGAAACCTCTTCAAAAGAAAAAAACCAGAAAGTCCAGTTGCCTCCTGAAAAAAAGAGAAGAGGACGCTAGAAAGCTAACGAGTGGAGCATCTCAACTTTGGGGGTGGAAGGGGATGAAAGAAGACTCAGTGTCTTGTCCTTGGAGTTGGAAGCCTGTAGTTGGATTCATTTTACGACTGCGTGAGTCGCCCAATAACCCCATGATTTGCTTAAACCAACCTGGTGGAAAAATATTTGTAAGGTCGGGTCCCGATCACGTGATGCCTTGCTTAGCGACCGAAATTCTGGTCATGGTGGACATACTTCAAGGGCTGCCAGCACAGGAGACCAGGCTCTCCAAGAAGCATCCCCCCCCCCCCCCCCCCCCGCTCGGAATCTTAGTCACTTTCATTGCTTGATCAAACGATTTTAAGATTATAAAACGTTGGCAGATTTTTCTTGGTTGTTACTTGCCTGTGTTTGAATGGGAGCGGCGGGCTCCGAAGCAAACCTCGCAGGCTAAAGAATTGGTGGTGGTGGTGGGCTTTCTGTATGCCCCCCCCCCCCCCAAGAATTGTCTTGTCTTCCTCCCTGTTTTAGGATCCCGAAGGCGAGCATGTTCGAAGAGCTGTGCAGAAGGCCATGGCGGCCTCTGGGAGCGGGATGGGCATCAGCCCTGGCGCAGGCGGGCCTGGCATGATTAACATCCCGCCCAGCATTCTCAATAACCCCAATATCCCGAACGAGATCATCCACGCCCTGCAGGCCGGCCGCCTGGGCAGTACCGTTTTCGTGGCCAATGTAAGTCGCCCCCCCCCCCCCTCCTGGGGGCTTTGTATTCAGAATTTGGGTCCTTGGATCCGAAAGGAAAATCGGGGTTTTGTTTTTTTTCTTGGTCTCTGTGGCAGGGATGAAATTGGTCCCGTCTGTAGCAAAATAGTATACGTGGTCCTAAGCTATTGTTTAGTTTTATTCACCGTTGTAAGATATAAACCATGGTTTTACAAGCCGTTATTTGGGAGGGCTGCATAACTCCTGCCTCTCTTTCTTATCTGGATCTCTGGAAATCTGGGTTCAGACTCTGGTTTGCGTCAGGCTAAGCCCCAGAACGACATAAACTGATCCAGCCAAAGAGCATTTCTTCATTCGCTTATATGGCCTTAGACAGAATCTTGCCAGACTTAACACGCGGTTTGACCTGATCCGGGGTTTCCCCATGGGCAACTTCAAGATGGATGGACTTTTAACTCCCAGAATTCTCCAGCCTGTCAGTCCACCCATCTTCAAGTCACCCTAATGGGTGACTTTTGGCAGTGAGGGGAGGGCACATCCCGTCCTTGGCGTTCGGTCCTGCTTAAATAAACCCGTGTCCCAGACAAGCAGCTAATCCCCCTGGTGTGGCGTTCCTGAGGTGCGACCCAGGTTGGCCGCCGTCTTTCAAAAGATCCGGCGTTAACGTTTCACTGTTGCTCCTCGCTCGTCTCCTCCCGTCCTCTTCCTTCAAGCTGGATTACAAGGTTGGCTGGAAGAAACTGAAGGAAGTCTTTGGCATGGCCGGCGTGGTTGTCCGAGCAGACATCTTGGAAGACAAAGATGGGAAGAGCCGGGGGATCGGCACAGTCACCTTCGAGCAAGCCATCGAGGCTGTCCAGGCTATCTGTATCCTTTGTTTGGACCGGACTAAGGTTTGGGTGTCTTTGGGATAGAACGAATTGAGTGGGTCACCTGCGGAAGGGAGTTGGGTTCAGCCTTCCTTGAGAGGCTGGTTTGGAATTGCTGGCAACTGCCCCTAACCATCAGTTGATGGGTAAGTGGAGGTTGCAGGAGCCGACGCAAACACCTCTGAATCCTACTGCCCGTTGTGGGGAGACGTGTATCCCGATTGGTTCCCACTTCCTCCTGGAAGAGCCATAGCCCTTAGGCTTACATACCACTTCCCAGTGCTTTACAGCCTTCTCTAAGTGGTTTACAGAGTCAGCGCCCCCAAATAATCTGGCTCCTCCTTTTACCAACCTTGGAAGGATAGAAGGCTGAGTCAACGTTGAGCTGGTCAGGATCAAACTGCTGGCAGTGGGTAGCGAGTTAGCCTGCAATACTGCATTCTGAGAATATCCTCTTGCTGAATAATAACTCCGCGTTGGCGACAGGAAGGGCACCTGGCCAGCTCCATTCAGTCCCTGCAAGGGGTTACGGGGTCCTTAAAAGAGGATGATGGCATGTCAACGGGCTGTCACCGGCCGCACCTTCTGCCAAAACAAGAATTTTTCTCCTCTTGAACCGAAGCCCCCCATGAGATCAGCTGTGATGATAAAAAAATAAATAAAATGTTTTCCTCTCGCTCCCCGGCGCCTCTCTTGGGAGAATGGGGCAGCGAGTGGATGAAAACATAACGCGAAGGAGAGGTTCTCGCGGGCGTTTCCTAGAAAGGGGAAGAGAATCTGAGGGGCATACAAAAGGTGTTGCGCTGCTGCTTCTTTTGCGGGTCTCCGTCGGACCGACGTATGACCGGAAGGCCTTGACTCAACTCCTAGCTATGTTCAACGGGCAGCTGCTCTTCGACAGGCCGATGCACGTCAAGATGGTAAGCAAGGCAAGGTTGCCTGCACCCCCATCCCCTCCTGGTCTCTTCCTTCTCCACCCAACATTAAGCTTCTCTTTTAATGTTTCAGGACGAACGGGCTTTGCCCAAAGGGGATTTCTTCCCTCCGGAGCGGCCCCAGCAACTTCCTCGTAAGTCCTCGGAGCTCGCTAGGGAAGTGGCCCCTGGTGTTCTGACCCACCTCCCCAAACACGACAAACCTTCTGTAGTTGAAGCAATGATTCCTTTATTAGGAGCGCCAGCCGAAATTCCCTCTCTCACCGCAGGCTAACCAGTCTGTCCTGCAGGGAGATGAATAGTTGTCTGCCACATCTGTTCATCTCCGCCCCCTGCCTTTTATTCCCCAGGGTCAGGGTGGGGCTTCGCTAGCAGCAGTGCCTCCTCCATCCCAAGGACCGGCCCATAGATTTCCAATACTCTCCTCTCCTTTTATCCCCCAGAGTCAGGGTGGGGCTTCGCTAGCAGCCATGGCTCTTCCATCCCAAGGACCGGCCCGTAGATTTCCACTGCTCTCCTCTCCTTTTATCCCCCAGAGTCAGGGTGGGGCTTCGCTAGCAGCAGTGCCTTTTCCATCCCAAGGACCGGCCCATAGATTTCCACTGCTCTCCTCTCCTTTTATCCCCCAGATTCAGGTTGGGGCTTCTCTAGCAGCTATGGCTCTTCCATCCCAAGGACCGGCCCATAGATTTCCACTGCTCTCCTCT